TCCAGGGATTGGGCTTCTACCACCTCTCTGGACAACATGTTGCAGTGTTTCACCACCCTCATAGTAAAAAACTTCTTATAACCCGTCCAAATCTACTGTCCTTTAGTTTAAAACCATTACTCCTTGTCATATCACAACGGGCCCCGCTAAAAATGCTATTTGCCTTCTTGGATGTTAAGGATGCTGTTGGCCTTCTTGGCCGGCCTTCCTTCCCTCAGGCAGATCAATGCTCCCACCCAACTTGGTGTCATCTGCAAATTTACTGAGGGTGTACTTGATCCTCTCATCCAAATCATTGATAAAGATATTAGACAGAACTGGCTCCAGTATTGAGCGCTGGGGAACCCTACTTGTGACCAGCCACCAACTGGATTGAACTCCATTCACCATCACTGTTTGTGCCTGGCCATTCAGACAAAGAGTACATCCATCCAAGCCATGAGCAGCCAGTTTCTTCAGGAGAACAGTGTCAAAGTCTTTACTAACCTTTAGATAGACAACATCCACAGCCTTTCCCTCCTCCCCTAAGTGTGTCATCTTGCCGTAGAAGGAGATCAGGTTAGTCAAGCAGGACCTGCCTTTCATAAACCCATGCTGCCTGGGCCTGATCACCTGACTGTCCTGTACATGCCACATGATGGCACTCAAGATGATCTGCTCCATAACCTTCCCTGGCACCAAAGTCAGACTGACAAGCCTGTACTTCCCCAGATCCTCCTTCTGGCCCTTCTTGTAGTTGGGTGTCATGTTTGCTAATTTCCAGTCAGCTGAGACCTCTCTGGTTAGCCTGGACTGCTGGTAAATGATGGAAAGTGGCTTGATGAGCACTTCTGCCAGCTCCCTCAGTACTCTTGGGTGGATCCCATCTGGCCCCATAGACTTGTTTGTGTCTAAGTTATGTACAGGTCACTAACCATTTCCCTTTGGACTATAGGGGATTCATTCTGCTCCCTGTCCCTGTCTTCCAGCTCAGGGTGCTGGGTGCCTGGACAACAATTGGTCTTATTATTAAAGACTGAGGCAAAGAAGGCATTAAGTACCCTTTTCCTTATTCTTTGTCACTGTGTTTCCCCCCACATCCAATAAAGGATGGAGATTTTCCTTAGCCCTCCTTTTGTTGCTAACATATTTATAGAAACATTTTTTGTTGCCATTTACAGAAGTAGAAAGACTAAGTTCTATCTGGGCTTTGGCCCTTCTAATTTTCTCCCTGCATAACCTCATGACATCCTCGTAGTCCTCCTGAGTGGCCTGCCCCTTCATCCAAAGGCCATAGACTCTCCTTTTTTTTCTTGAGTTCCAGCCAAAGCTCTCTGTTCAGCCAGGCAGATCTTCTTCCCTTATGGCTCATGTTTTGGTACACAGGGACAGCCTGCTCCCGTGACTTTAAGATTTCCTTCTTGAAGCATGTCCAGCCTTCCTGGACTACTTTGTCCTTCAGGACTGCCTCCCAAGGGACTCTACCAACCAGTCGCCTAAACAGGCCAAATTCTGCCCTCCAGAAATCCAAGGTAGCAGTTCTGCTGACTCCCTTCCTCACTTCTCCAAGAATTGAAAACTATAAACTGTATCATTTTGTGATTGCTATGCCCAAGATAGCCTCCAACCATCATATCACCCACAAGTCCTTCTGTGTTCATGAACAACAGGTCCAGTGGGATGCCTTCCCTGGTTGGCTCACTCATCAGCTGTGTCAGGCAGTTATCTTCCACACACTCTGGGAACCTCCTAGCCTGTTTCCTCTCTGCTGTATTGTATTTCCAGCAGGCACCTGGTAAGTTGAAGATCCCCAAGAGAACAAGGGCTAGTGATTGTGAGACTTCTCCCAGGTGCTTTTAGAATATTTCACCTGCCTCTTCATCCTGGTTGGGTGGTCTGTAACAGACTCCTACCATGATATCTGCCTTATTGGCCTTCCCCTTGATTCTTACCTATAAACACTCAACCCTATCATCATCATCATCATCATTAAGCTCTAGACAGTCAAAACACTCCCTAACCTACAGGGCTACCCCACCACCTCTCCTTCCTTGCTTATCCCTTCTGAAGAGTTTATAGCCATCCATTGCAGCACTCCAGTTGTGTGAGTCATCCCACCATGCTTCCGTAATGGCAACTATATCATAGTTTTCCCACGAACAATGGCTTTCAGCTCCTCCTTCCAACTGTTGTTGCCCATACTGCATGCATTCATATAGATGCATTCCAATTGGTCTATTGATCCCACCACCTTTTTGGCAGAAGAAGCCCTAATTCCTGTGTGAGCATTCTCAGGCACTTCTGTGGTTTCTAACACATAAATAGCACTCATGTCTTTGCTGCCACATGGATCTCCATCCCCTGCCTCCACCAAGATGTCAGACTGAAGGACCTTGCTAGCACACTGTCCCTCAAACATTGGTGCGCTGCCCCCAGGCTTATCTCTAGCAAGCCTGGT